TTATGCATGACATATTATAACAATCAAATGAGGGTGGCCAGACAGTTGGTGTGTGTACCAGAAATACTTATTGAAGCCCTTATGAAAGTGTATCATGAAGTAGCGAGTGGGCATTTAGCGGCAGATAAAACAGAAAGTAAGATACTGCAGAAGTTCTATTTCCCGAATATGCAGGAGCAGGTGAGGTTATTTTGCAAAACATGTAGCCAATGTTTTAAGACAAACATATATTATAAAAAAGGGGAGAAGACAAGGCTAAAACCGGTAGTTTATAAATATCCAGGGTTATGTGTGGCGATGGATGTGGTAATGGTAAAAAAGGGAGGTTTGGAAAGTAAGGTGCTGACTATCACAGATAAGTTTACTAAGTGGGTGGGATTTTTCCCAATTAGAGATGAAAAGGCAAAGACTATCGCAAGAATATTTGTGGACAAGTGGGTGAGTTATTGGTCGGTACCAGAGTTGCTGATAACGGATAATGCAGTAAGTTTTAAGACAAGTGAAGTGATGAAGAATGTGTATAGGTTGCTAGCAATAGATAAGAAATATTGTTCAAGTTATCATCCCGAGGGGAATGGGGAGGCGGAGAGAAAGAATAAGGTGCTGATTCACATGTTGCAGAAGTTAGTGGACGAGTTTCCGTCGAGGTGGAAGAGTTTTTTACCCATGTTACAGTTGGCCGTAAACTCAGCACAGAACAGGAGTACAGGGTTTTCAGCATTTAAGTTAATGACAGGGAGGGAAATGAGGTGTTTGGAGAAAGTAGTATTTGACGTAAGAAGTACAGAGTATTATCAGAGTGAGGCACATTTAGCAAATCAGACATATAAAGAATTAAGAAGGGTGTTCCAGATTGCCAGTGAGAATTTAGATTTGTCACACGCGCTGCAGAAGAAACTATATGATCGTAACAAAACACATGTTAGTTTGGTAGAGGGAGACAGAGTACTGCTGCACAGGCCTAAGGATACTTCAAACCCATATTACAAATTAAAGTCGAATTGGCAAGGTCCTCATGTCATTGTTAAGGTATTTGATGAGCATAATTACTTAATTAAGGAAGAAAGGGGGGAAAGGAACAGGTGGTGCACAGGAATCATTTAAGGAAATTGCCAGAGGGAATGAGGGGAAATTTAGCAGCAGGAGAAGTAGAAGAAGGAAGCTTCGTGAAAGGAGCTGATGAAGAAAAACTGGGCCTGGAGGATGAAAGTGAAGGTGAAGAAGATAGGGAGAGTTTTGAGGAAGACTCAGAGTCCGATAAAGACTATTTCTATCCGGATGTAAGGCAAATCGGGAAACCTAAAGAGTGGAACTTGAGGGAAACATGTTCAAATCCTAGGGAGGTAGTGGAATTCGAGAGAACGGTTGATCCGAACGAATTTAGGAGAACAGAGAAAGAAAATGCGTAGAAAGAAATAATGGAAGTACGAAAAAAAATAATGGTAGTACGAAAAAGCAAAATGGGTGGGATAGAAAACAAGGACAGCAAATCGGATTCTGAGGAAGAATCTGGATTGAAAACTTCTACTAAAGATGATGGAAGGGTGCGATCCAGATTCAAGCACTGATTCGGAGAGTGACGTAGAGACGAATGGTACGGAGGAAAAAGATAAAAAAGACAAAATGAAAGATGAGAAATTGAATGAAAGACCACATACATTCATCAACGAAGAGTTCAAGAGGAAACTGATACAGAAAGTAGCACAGAATACGGCTCAGATAGCAGTACAGAGATCAGTAGTGCGGATGAAGAAGAGTCAATGACATGGAAAGCGAAAAAAATTAAAATATGAGGACGAGAGTGAGATACAGCATGAGAAATGACTTCGTTTTAAACTATACATGGAAGCAGAGAAAGTGGATAAAAGTGGAAGGAAGGAGAATTGGACAGGAATGTATGCCAAATAGAGAAAGTACGAAAGAAGAGAGACAATTTAAGAGCGGAAATGATTAGTATTTTAGAGAAAAAGATAAAGATGCTAGAAGATTCAAGGAAGATAACAGAAGGAAAACTACAACAGAGAATAGATAACTTGGAAAGGATGAACGAAAAAAGAAGAAAAAGAGAAGTAAAGGGGAAAGAAAACTTACAGATTGAGGTAATTGGAAAAGAAAGACAGATAAAGAAACCAACCCTGGAAAAGTAGAAGTACATGCAAACTTAAAAATTGGAAAACGATAAATCTGTAACCAGAGTCGAGGACATATGGATTGGAGGTCGCATGAAAGCAAAGATCAGAGACAGGATTCGAGAACACATGAATTGGAGAACACATGAATTGAAGGTCACATGAAAGCATAAAACGAAGATAGATTGGAGATATGGAGACCAGGAGGCGGGGACAACTGCTGATATCCTGGACGGAGAGACAGTGTCGGAGAAAATTACTGATATCCTTGGCGGAGAGACGGAAAAAATTGGTGATATCCTGGATGGAGACACAGAGACGGAGAGAATTATTGATATCCTAGACGGAAACACAGTGTAGGGGGACAAAATGCGGATATACTGGATGGAGACACAAGGTTGGGTACAAATGCTAATACCCTAGGCGGAGGCATTTATCTTGGATGGAGACACAAAGGTCAAGAAAGGAGTAGAAAACGAAAACGGAAAGATTGAAGGACACATCGATTGGAAAATGCAAATGCATGGAATCATAGATCGGAGACAAGATTGGAGGACACGTTGATTCAAGGTCGCATGAAAGCATAAATCGGAGACCACCGAAGATATCGGAGATGATTGCTGATATCCTAAGCGAAGATAAAAAGTTATGTGCTGAACGACGAACAAAGACATGGAACAGAAGGCCAGATAAGGATATTCTGAACGACGAACAAGACACGGGTAAGAAGAGACGAGATTGAAATGGACACATTTAAAAAAAACGTTTAGAAATTGTGAGTTGTTATTAAATTATTATAGTTGGGTTCTAAAAATTTGTGATTTTAAAATGTTGAGGAAGTGCAGGAAGGAGTTTTTAAGGAGTGTAAATTATTATACCAGTATAGTAGGGTTCTAAGAAAGATCAGTTTTTGTTAAGTTGTGTAAGCCGTGATCGGGCAAGGTATAAGGTCTTTAGTTCGAGATTTTCTATTAAATTTGTATACTATTATAGTAAGGTTCTAAAAATATCATATTTTGTAAAGTTGTGTACGCAGTGGATATTTTGAGTCAATTTTTCTGGAAGTATCATTATTAAGTTAGATTATATAGATTTATAATATTAACCGATTACTTAAGAGAATGCGGAGTTATCATTAGTAGCGGCCGAAATAATCATTGTGCAACGAGCATGTAGAGGCTTATGGCAAGAACACGACGGAAGTGTGATGAGGGTAGTGGCTGAAAATACTGGTAGGGAATTAATGATAATCATAGATAAAATTAGACGGCCTGTAGTTCGATGTTGGTTGAATAAGCACCAAGGAGCACGAGAAAATCAGGCAGACTTGTTGACAAGACAGTGCGTGCTATAGATTAGAATGCATTTAATAGAGAATAATGAGTTTTCGGAGCATACAGCATAGGCGGGCCGTATTTTGGTGCGGCACATACAGGGCTGGTAGAGGAATATATAAGGTCGGACGGACGGTCGAGAGGAGGATTGAGTTTGCCCTAATAGATTAGGGGTCATTGATGCCGGACCAGTAGAGACCAGGACCCTTTATGGTTGGATCCTGGGGAGCATGGGTTGGGATAGATCATTAAGGAGAATCAGCGAGGGCTGATTTGGGTTGATTCTAGTGAGCACTGATTAGGATATGTTGTTATAAGGGGAATCAGCGGGGGCTGATTTGGTTGGATTTTGAGTTGAGTCATCTTTTAAGGCCAAGTAAGGATAAGTTAAGGTAGGGTTAATACGAGAGAACCATACTAGGAGCCATAGGGTAAGATCATTAGATCGGTGGGTGATTTTGGGCAATATAAGTCTGGTGAACTAGGAGTTAAAACAGGAGTTTGTCGAATTATTCATTGTGTTGTTTTATAGTTTAATATCTTGTAACCATCGTTATTACTCTTGTTTTCGTTGTTCGTACCTTAAATTGATACAAATAATCTACGAATCTGGAGCAGATGGTGACTGCGTACACTTGTTGTACAATATTTAGAAGTTAGAGAGTAGCTAATTCATCAACAAATAAGTATCGTGACATGAGACCATGTATAATAAAGAATACTGTGTATTTAGTGTGCCTATGTCAAACTCAATATCTATAATCAATAATTTTAACTCAAACAATTTGAAGGTTGGGGTTGGAAATTGCAACCGAATATTGAATATCATTTGCTAAAACCACAACTAAAGTCTTATTAAATAAAGATTTTTTAAAATATCTAGTCAAGAATATAGGTTTTTACCAACAAACATGGAACGATCAAAGCTTTGACAAAATTTAACATCGCTTTTGAAATTTAACATCTGGGATACAAGAATTGGAACTTTTTGCAGTAGTTGATACGCAACATTTTTATAATTTTTCAAATAAGATCTCGCTACATCTGCAATCTCTAAAAGGTTTTATTTCACTTCTCTTGGAGAATCTCATACTTAGTCTCCCTATCGTACACCATTGTCCCTACAAATCCAACGAAAGAAAAGAAAAGAAAGATACCAACCACAGAATAGGGGCTTACATAGAACAATAAATAGACACACGCCGTCCCGAAAACGCCTCCTATTTTTCCACAACTGTTGATGATACCAGTTGCTGTAGATCGGATGCAAGTGGGGAAACTTTCTGGTATCATGATCCAAAGTGTGGTATTCACAAAGGCCTCAACAATTTTAGCAATCATAGTTGTTGCAAAAGTAAGCGATTCATTAACACACACAAATAGTGTTGCTATCGATAGCAACATGATCAAACTTGCCACTCTTATTGGTATGAGCCGGCCAATTCGTTGTGCTAAAATCACAGCCGCTATTGCACCCAAAATACTTCCTCCACTAACAATCGTCAACTTCAGCAGATCATCTTGTGTCAAGCTTTGGCATTTATGCTGTGGTGATTAAGCTGCTCCACACATGTGAGCACTGTACATCAGGGGTAGCCACACTATCAGGCCAAACTCGATAAAAATATTGCAGAAGTACATGACGGAGAGGGCGATGGTTGACTTTCTGTTGTCCTTGTTCAAGATCTTAGAGTATGACCCCAGTTCCTCGTCAACAAAACAGGCCATTTTTATTTTTTCTTGTAATTTTCTTCTGTTAAGCTTGGCCATGGTCCTGACAGCTTTCATTGCTTTGTCCTGTTGTCCACTGACACAAAGAAATCGAGGGGATTCAGGAAGTGCAAGAATCAAGATTAAAGCAGGGACAGCAGGAAGTGAGACAATGATGATTAACCAATGCCATCCAACATTTTTTAGGACTAGAAATGCCACTCCGCTGACTGCTCCGAAGGCACCACATAAACCTAACGAAAACGCCAGGACTCCAAAGACTCGATACTTGCTTTCGGCAAACTCAGCGGTGTAGCAGACTATGCAGCTGAGATTGATACCAATGCATGCACCAGTCACCAACCTAGTTGCAAGAAAGACCCACTTATTTGGCGATAAGGCGCCACAAATTGCTGCCAATAACAACAAAAGTGTCGACCATTGAATCACAGTTTTCCTTCCGAATTTGTCTGCAACGTTTCCGAACATTATTGCAAACAGTGCATAAGAGCCATACATTGATATTGTGATAGCTGCTTCAAAACCTGCAGTTAGACCCCATTCACATCTCAAAGAAGGAAGAATAACTGCCATAACAGTCAATTCAGCATAGTCAGAATACGCCACCAGAGCAACTAAGGTCCAGTAAAGATATTGTGCAGGACCAAGTCCTATCATTTCATAGATCTCGTTCAGTTCAAGCAGCTTTTCATCCGACGCTTGTGAGGTTGACCCATATTTGGCAATGGTGGAGTCTCCATCGTTTGTGATTTCTTTTATTTCATTCATGTTTGTTTATTCATTTGCCTGTGCTGGTGAAAAGTTGAGCTTCAGCGAATTTAAACCATTTGGCACTAGTTACTACAGTTTTAAGTGCGTAATTCTAAATGCAAAACAATCTGCCGAGTGGACTCGTAAAATGTACATACGATCAGAACGCGGTATTACGAGACACAGAGGCAACACATAAGTGCAGTGGGTGCAGATTTGCACTGTTGACCTAACACCGCACTTTGTCGCACTATTATATCGGCCGATACTCATTCTATCAGATTTTTGCACTTCAATTTGGTATCGCTGTGTACAACGAGATAAGAATGACATGCGCATAACTATGGTTAGGGTCAAACGTTTTTCATGACGTATCATTAAATAGATCGGAAAGTGGAATTACTTTTAAAACTGACGAAAAAAATGTAATGATGGATAGAACAACTTTTCTTCCTAATTATACGGGGGGGGGGGGGGGGGATAAAAATAAAGGAATAGGGACAAAATATCAAGGGACAGACTCGGGGAGACTTAATATAAACGTACAATGAGCATAAACGTAATTTACCAGTACCACATGATGAACCAGTATGTGTTTTCTATGAAAACACATACTGGTTCATGATCATGTATGTGTTTACACTGTTTTACTTACCTTATCGGACCTTATTTGGACGGAGGTTACACTGTTTTACTTACCTTATCGGACATTATTTGGACGAACATTAATTGAACGCTGGAGGCCCTTACGTTCATCTTAATGTCCGTTCAAATAAAGTCCGTTCATTTAAGGTCTGTCCAAGTTTCAAAGTTTTCAAACATTTTTCCACTTTGAACTTTTTGTCCAGAATATGACAACTATGATAACTTTATTGTGCCTTAAGTTAACGAAGGAAAGGTTCTCCTTGGTCTGCCAGAGGCACAGAAAACTCTACTAGTATATGATGTTTTCAAGGGTCACTTGGCAGAAAAAGTCAATGGAATTATGGCACTCAACAACATAGTTCATGAGTTAGTCCCCGCCAAAATGACAAACTTTTTCCAGCCTCTAGATATTACGGTAAATCGTGTTGCCAAGGACATTGTCGGACGTTTTTATAGTTCATATTAATCAGGGGAGGTAATGAAACAGTTCTAGGAAAACTCCAAGTGATTAAGGTTTACCTAAAGTTGTCTAAGATAAAACCACTTCACGCCGAATGGCTTGTAAAAGTTAAGTTCACTGAAATGCAGGACCGGGGTAGTTTGATTAAAAAAGGTTTCCATAAAGCTAGAATCACTGATGCTTTAAGCATGGACTATTTCATGCACGAAACCCCATTTGATGAAGATGATATGTGATATTAGACACTGATCATGTACACATATTTAACATTTTTACTGCTTAACGACTGCTATTCTTACTTACTGTATAAAAAATTGATTTAAAATCATTTGTTGAAATAAAAAACGTCAAAAAAATGAAAAAAAAATTCGGATTTTTGATGGTTTTGAATGTCTTCCAGCGTTCATATTAATGTCCGTTCATAATTATGTCCGATCATTTAATGTTCGTCCAAATAAGGTCTGATAAGGTAATATGTGAATACTCAATTTTAATAACCTTTCAAAAGTGGGATGCTAGGATCACGCAGGTAATTTTCGCTAGGAGTACCGGGAAGAAACATTATTATATAGGACTCACACAATTTAGTACACTGATATTTGCAGAAAATAAAAACTTGTTCATGCTTAAGCTTAGGGGTCGTTCACATGCTTAGGGGTCGTTCACATATTACGTAATCAGCCGAGGGGGGGTTTTAAATGCTTACGGTTGATTACGGGGGGGGGGGGGCGGGGGGGTTTGGTCGTTGATTACGTAATCAATATTTTAATTTTTACCGATTTTCGAAATACCAATTGGACAATTTTCGTTAATTATGTAATCAAAATTTTCGTTTTTCAAACCAATTTTCGTTTAGTAAGTGCTTTGCGATTACGTTATCAAGATTAGTAATAATAATAATATAGGGGGGGGGGGGGTTCGGTCGAGATTACGGTTGATTACGGAGGGGGGGGGGGGGTAAAAATTGCCAAAATATTGATTACGTAATATGTGAACGACCCCTTAATAGTACAACTTTATTGAAAGGACAACATAATAGAAGAGTAATAAACTATTTTTCTAAGATCAAAATGTCAATAAGTTCCGCGCCGTCTATTGTCCTTTGAACCCGCTAGTATATAGTAGCAACAAATGATAAAACTAAATAAGTAAATTTGATAATAAATTTTTGAACTTGAAAAGGTTCTATACTGCGGTCGGCTGCTGTAATGTAATATGTTGAGTAATGAGATGCTTATATTGTATGCTATTGTTTTAGTAACAATAAATAGTAGGTATTCACACTCAGACCTGAGTTTAGTCATTTTCCGATACGAGATTGGGGACGGGTTCTATAAACAAACAAACAAACAAACAAATAGTAGGTTTTCGTAACAAAAAAATGTAAAAATAAAAATTGTAGGTTGAACTTAAAACTGTTCTGTATTGCGGTCGGTTGCTGCAATGTAATATATTCAGTATTGAGTATTGAGATGCTTATATTATATGCTATTGTTTTAGTAACAATAAATAGTAGGTTTTCGTAAAAATAAAATGTAAAAATAGAAGTCGGTGGTTGCTTTAAATCAATGGATTATGTTATTTTTGTGAATTCGACCCCTGTTGAAACGGTTATCACACTTTGTAACTGCATGCGTATTGAGGATATCTTTACAAATACGCTCACAGGCTACCACGTCTCGTGTAACCCTAGGACTCTAACACTTAACAGACTCTAACACTTAACAGACTCTAACACTTAACAGACTCTAACACGCTCACAGGCTTCCACGTCTCGTGTACCCTAGGATTTGGTTTTGGATCGGACACCCAAAACAACAATAGAGGAGCGGTCTACACGCTCACAAGTCAAACTAGGCAAAATCGCGGTGAATTTGCGGCGAAAGATAATGTATTTGTAGAGCTAAGTTAGATGTCATAAATTCGTTAACTAGCTTGTTAGTATAGATAGATTAGGGAGTGAGAGGCTCGTCAGGCAAAACAATAGCATCTACATCAATAATCTTAAGTGTTAAGATCTTAACAGACTCTTTTTCATGATGTTGTTACACGAATTATGAATTAGGGATGCACTGGTTCATAGAATTTGGGTAATGAAAATTACTAGTTGGTTTGTGTGTAGATAGTAGGTCTGTGCGGCTTCTAGTGATCATAGAAAATTATTATAATTATTACGTAAGAATTATTATAAAAGTTATGTTTATATAGAAACAAGGATCTCGATTAACTTAAATATTGAGGCACTTTCCTTGTACCTATCGAGAATGACTCGGACCGAAAATTTTCTAAATCGAAATTATTTTCAAAGTTTTTCTGGAAACTACTTTTGTTCATGTTTCATGCATCCCTGAGCATTATGAGCCGAAAATACTTTTTCGGTCCGTGCCTACATTCGAAAGGCTGTGGATGTGATTAGTTCCATATATCTTACTATATATAAAGCGAGACGATATATATATATTTATCCGTGCCATTTTACTGACACCACGGCATCAACTTTAACGCAAATTTCCGCAAAAACCGTAAAATATATACACCTGAAACTTTTTTGACTGGGTGAAATGCTTTAATGGCCTCCAAATCAGCATGAAAAAATAAAAAATTGGCCAAGAGGTAGGAGTTTTAGAGCCCAAAATTTGGTACCCCAAGTGGTGTCAAAAACGCGAATTAAATAGGTAATAATTATTTTGGTCTCTTGAGTCTTGACACCATTTTAGGGTTATACGGGTTCCTGCTAGTAATTATAAAGAACGTGTTATTTGGCCCTCAGACTTAAAGAATAAAGCGCAAATTTGGTCCTCAGAGAACTGGAATAATTGCAATTTGTGGCGAATATCTTTGTGGCGAATACAGATTTCTAAACAGATGTAGTGATTTAAGAATTATTTACACAAGATTCTTAATTTTGCTATGTACCACAATATCACAGTGAGGTATTTATTTTTATTCCAATGCTTCAAATATGATCAAAAAGTCTCCTATCTTACCAAGAAATGAGACACTTTGTTACTCAGAAGACCATTACTCGGTAATCATTGCTATCATAGACTGGTACTCTAGTGGGATAGCGGATGTCGTACAATGCAATTGTAAACCGCATCACACGGAGGGTGCAGCCTGCAGGCGAACTGGAGAATATACTGTAGTGTCTTCTTACCGTGGTTTGTTTCTGCATTAGGGGTCCTTCACATATTACGTTATCACTTTTTGGACAATCTTTAGAAGTTAGAGAGTAGCTAATTGATCAAAAAATAAGTATCGTGACATGAGACCATATATAATAAAGAATACTGTGTATCTAATGTCAAACTCAATATCTATAATCAATAACTTTTACTCAAACAATGGTTTGGGTTGGAAATTGCAACCGAATATTGAATATCATTTGCTAAAACTACAACCAAAGTCATATTATATAAAGATTTTTTAAATGTTGAGCCAAGAATATGGATTTTTGCCAACATGGAACGGTCAAAGCTTTGAAAAAAAAAC